ATAAACCAATAGCATCGAACCCACGAACTCTTGGACATGGGCCCAGTGCCCTACCAACCAGGCTATCCCGGCCTTGCTCCAGTTGATAGTCAATAAACGAACTGGAGTGTCAAAATTGAGTTAAGTTTTTCCACATAAGTTAGAAAATTAACGGTAAATTAATTAAATACAGCGCCGCATCGCACATTGAATTTTCTGAAACATAATTCTTTCTTACATTTATTATTTGTTTATGCATTTTATTGTAACACAGGATATGTTTTTGTTCTCTATATCTGGCAACTTCGATGCATAACTAGTTTGTTTAAGTTCTACATGACTTCGTGCCTGTCTTTGTGTTAAGTATGAAATATATAGTGAAAGAATTGAAATTATTAAAGAAATCTTTGTGAAGATAATTGAAAAGATAAATACTTAAGAGAATTGATATTTAAAGGGTTAAGTTAACTCGAAATAGCATGGAAGACACAGTTGCAAATGTAAACAAAGCCACGTTCTAACAACCAATCAGGCTCGAGAAACCCACGCCATGTTACTTGCATTCTTCCCATTATAATCAGGCTCCGTAAATTAAAAAATAGAAGAATTTCTCCACTGAAAAAATTAATCTGCTGGCGATGCAGTGGCGAAAGGAGAGATAGTGAAAATATTTAAATAACTGTTTTTAGAAGAAAAATAATTATTTTTTTATTATTCTAAATTTTTCTTGTCACTTCTACCAGGCTTAGAACAGACAGGAGCTTATGTACCTAGTGGCGTGTTTGACAAATATCATGCTTTGTTCTTTTGTCTCATGGCAGGATATACATAATTTCTATATACACTCTTACGGGTGTTGAAATTGAAGCCCGTGTCCCTTATTTTTGACGATTATACAAACCACAAAAATTGCATTTGGTCTTGCTTCTTAAACAGCGTAGTTTGAATAAAAGTGGAGCACAAATCTTGATAAACAGTGATTTTGATAATTTTCATTTAGGTAGAAAAATTTCAATTAAGTTATTTCTTTGCTCTAAAGCCCAGATAATTCTTCACGGCAAGATTATATATCTAGTTTATAATTCTCGCATTGCTTCAAGTGTAATGCACTCAAACTACGGCTTTTGAATTTACCTTGGTTCGAAAAACAGCATTACACAACAAGGTGAAGGCTTATTTATGGTGTGGGGAGGATTTGGCCATGCTGTTAAAAAGACAAATGCCATACAAAATAAGATGCTTCTGTTAGGAGGTTGTTTTAATGTCGAAATTTAATATGTTGTGCAAAGAATATGGCTGATTTGTTTCACTATATTGGTAGCACTCTCTGGATTACAATAGTTCATAGAGAATCAGAATCGAGAATAGAGAATAAGCCCTGGTCAATAAGCGTGGACGGCATGTGAGGGATACATTAATGAATTAGTAATTCTACTATCCTCTGTAACCACTTGCTTATTTTGAGTATAATTGGGTAACTCATAAGGAATTAAGGCGATTATGCCTAATCATGTGATTTAAATCAGATTTAATTCAATACCTCAGTGAGGAAATTTTTCTAAAAATTATTTCCAGCAAAACGTGTATATTCATGCAGGTTTCTACGCATATATGCATAACCATAGTTTAAATACTCGATGCAAATTGCGATGGCATAACGGTATTTAAATTTTTAATTGCTATAATGGTATTATAATAGTATTATATAATAGGCATTAAATATTTCCTATATTTTAAATTACTTTTATTTCATAAATTTAATCATTCCTAATCCGTCTTTAAATACATAAATCTGCTAATTAATTTTAATTAAATTTTATAAATGATGCGATTTCAGATATTTCTATTCTCAATAAATCTAACAGCTATAACTTTTTATTCTGATGCAAGTTTATAACTAAATCTTATTCAAAATCTCGACAACCGAACAGCAAAATCTATTTTTAACCTTTCCTTCTTTTATCACATTAAGCATTAGCATATACATTATTAGGTTTACTTCAATTTCCAAACAACTATTTTGCCTTAAATCTTTACCCAAATTATTTAAATAATAACACGAGATATCGTGAGTTTGGATGAATTGGCTTTCCCTTTGGCAGTGGCCTTGTTCGATAATACGCCAATAATGGATCTCTCCCGTTCTATAAAGCGTTGATTAAATACCACTTTCAATTTGGTATTGGATTATGCAGGTCGTGGGGGATTCATAAGAGCAAAATTTAAGATTCTACTTGAGATGTCTCTTAGAAGATAAGAATATTCTTTTTATTTTGCAACTCGAGATTTTAAACGAAATAAACAGATTCATTATAATTTACATCCTGCTTTTCCTCATGTACTTCAATTAGTGAATCCACACTTACTACTACATATTTTCCATCATTTTATTTGGTGATCCACAATACAAGCGTTGGTTCAATTACATTTTTTAGGAAATGACCTAAAAATATCAAAAATAAAGAAATTATTTAGATTCTTCAATGTGTACAATAATTGCTTGAATTTTTTTTTAAGTGAGTGTTACTTCCATAAAATTGCAGGCAAGAGGATTTTGAAATTTATGCTTCAGTTGGAATTGGGTTGCATTAAAAAACATCCTACTCGCACCTGATTCATATTTATTTTCTGGCTCCACCACCATTTTATTCTTTTGGCAAAATAACAAAAACACATATCTGTGGGAATCTGTAAAGAAAATATTTAAGCAGCTTAATAAATGCAGTTTTAAAAAAATAAAGAAAAAAAACCTGATTGAGAAAAACGTCTGGTCAAATCTACCAGGATATAATAAAATTTAAACTATTTTTTTTGCTCTTTGAGAATACTTGATAATGATTAGATTAATATTACCAAAAAAATTTTTAGTTTCATAATGAATTTGGTAAGATTAAAGCCAACACTACTAAACAGTAAATTTTATAAATTAACCATAAATTTGCTATGTTTAACCATGAATTTAAATGCCCATCTCCTTAAAACCTCCAGGCTTTTGAGCAAATTTTTAATATTTGCAAAGAAAAATTGGATAGAATTATGGAAAATATTTAAAATAAGCATTTTTTTTATTCTCCTATTTTACCATTTTTCACTTTGTCTTTTATTTCCATCACATTACTAGTTCTTGGTATTAAATTATAACTTCTCCGAGCATCGAATTATCAGTGGTCCAAATATTATGTGACTAGGTCAAATGGTTCAGGAGTCTGTAAAGGACAAACAGGCAAATATTCATTGTTATGTAGGGAGATTTTTTTAACTCTCATCGAATTATGAGTGGTTGAAAAGTCATGTGCCTCGATCAAATGGTTCAGGAGTCTGTAAAGGGCAAACAGGCAAGTATTCATTGTTATGTAGAGAGATTTTTTTTAACTCTCATCGAATTATGAGTGGCTCAAATATTATGTGTCTCGGTCAAATGGTTCAGGAGTCTGTAAAGGACAAACAGGCAAATATTCATTGTTATGTAGGGAGATTTTTTTTAACTCTCATCGAATTATGAGTGGTTGAAAAATCATGTGTCTCGATCAAATGGTTCAGGAGTCTGTAAAGGACAAACAGGCAAATATTCATTGTTATGTAGGGGGATTTTTTTTAACTCTCATCGAATTATGAGTGGTTGAAAAATTATGTGTCTCGGTCAAATGGTTCAGGAGTCCGTAAGGAACAAGCAGTCACATATTCATTGTTGTGTAGAGAGATTTTTTTAACTCTCAAAGCTTGTTATTGCTCTAACTGTCATAAATTATCAGGTAGCAATTAAAGGTGAGTCATCGAGGCCTTTTCTTATTCCTTAATAAAACAAATGCTTCATTAGTTGAGTCTTTATTGCTGATGCTGCTTCCACCCTCAGAAAATATTGAAAGCTAATAATTAAATAATCAAGTTTCAAGAACCTTCCTAAACTATGAAAAGAAATGCTTTACTTGTCGAATCTTTATGTGTATGTGACTAATCCCCTCACTGTCTAGCAGCAGCTAGACATTATCCATGAGTTCATACACTCTCAAAAAATTCAGGGCAAGCAAAGGGTCAGCGAAAGTCTCCTTGGAAGTGTGAAGACAAGCCAGAATGTGCTCCGGGGACGCACTTTGCACAAACCGGAAAAACCCTGTTGTCATTGCAAAAGAAGCCACTCCTCAGGTGGCCGCTGGCAAATCTTGAATCTTTATAACTGCTTCAACTATTATAAAGTCAGTGATTAAATAACCGGCGTCTAAGAACTCATTGTTTCTTAACAATGAAAATTTAATGTTTAATTTGAAATGAATAATCCCAAGAAACTGAAACAAAAAGGTGTGGAAAAAATTTCCATAGCGTTGGAAAATTGCAGTGGAAAAGGCGACGTGTTTTAAACTCTAAAAAAAAGGCATTTATACTCAACACCCACAACAAATGAATATGGTGCAACGATTAAGTTTTTAGCTTCCGCTCTCTTTCTTCTATGGATATCATCCTTTTATGGTTGATTTAAGTCACCCAAAACTTTCTAGAACTAGACGAACTTTTCTTCTAATCCTCATTGTGAATTTTTTACTATACCGCTTATTTCTCTTCCATTTGCTACAAAATTTATATATGAAAATATTCTCTCCCCTTTCAGTTACAAAGTCATTTTCGGGCCTGTTGAAAAAGTGAAAGACACTTAAATATCATACTTTTAATAGCTATAATCGCTAAATTATCGGAATTAAAAAATTTATATCGTTTGAATCGAATCGATATCGAATGGATTATCGGTGATTGGATCGAATGGATCGGTAAAAATTGAATTCATGTCTTTCTAATGCAATCCCAGCTTCATTCGATAAATCTGAAGCTCTGTGTAAAATTTAAAGTAAGGGAATACCACATGTAAGTCCGTCAGCAAAGAATATAATGAATTATCTATTGCTACACATCCTTGGAACCTTGGACATAAACTTAAATTAGATCACGCCAAAACACCCAAACCTATCACAGAAGTTCATAACGTGATATTATGAAATTTTGTTTCATTTGAATGCTAATTGCCTCTAGATCAGGGGTTTCCAACTTACATGAGGCCGCGGGGCACAATTAAAAACACCAGTCAAATGGCGGGTGGCAATTTTATAAAAATTTTATATAGGTCTGTCTTAAGTTTGAAAGAACATTAAATATAACTGTCGGAATTTTATCAAGTTGTACGAAGCAAAAGCATTGCATTTCGAATTAAAATAAGAAGTAGATTTTCAAAAATAGTACATTGCATATTATAAAATTCTGGCTACAATAACTTTAATGCTCACCTATGTATTAAACAATTAATGTGCAACAGATATCAAACTGTTAAAATATAAAATTTAAAACCTATATAGATTTTTTACGAAAATTGTCAGCAAAAAATGACAGCTTATATATTTCAGCTTCGCGGGCCGCCAGTGGGTAACCACTGCTTTAGATGATAACATAAATTCCGCCCCACCTCTTAATTCTGCTTCTAAATGTATCCTTCCCTGATTTGCCGTTTTTAGTCATCTATCTTATCTTCGGCTACCGTTTTTTTTTTTTTTCAATTGCTTTGTTTTTCACCTTTGCGCTTTTCAATGTTGAATACATTTGCTTTTCTTCAAATCCCTTTTCTTGTTTTCATTATTCATGTGTTCATATCCATGCGTGCTTATTTCCCTTATTCATGTGTTCGTGTTTTCATTATACAACTTAAAAATGAATGTCCTATTTTGAGCACTTGAAACTTGCCGAGATTTTCCACCTTTATTTTTGAAGCCAAGGATTTTTTTTCTATTTTTCACGTTGCTTAATCTGTCGAGTTTTTATACGATTTCAACTTCCACAATTACTGCAAAACATTAAAGATAACAATTACCAGACAATAATTAACCAATTAAACCAATTAAAGACAACAATTACAGACAATAACCAGGGGACTGGAGCCATTACTCCTGATCAATCAAATTCATAATAGCTAATAGATCCGAGGAAATGGTCTGTTATTAATTGCCAATAAAAACATTTTTGTAGAATTATAGTTAATACAACATCCACTTAGTAATTAAATTATATGAGTTCATAGACATAGAAGATTTCTTACTTATAGGAGCAATAGGAGGCACATATGAAAATTTTGTATCACCCATGTTTCCTTTTTCCCAACCATTTTCTATTTGGCTGGTAGGTATGTTGTGAACTATCCAATGAACAAAGCCTTGCAGCATTGCCAAATCAGGATCTAAATAAGTATTAATTTCTGATAAATATGAATTTAAACACAGAAATGCAAAGTGAAACATAAATTATAACTGCTATTTATATAATAATATGCGTTATTGATTACGATTAGTGTGCTAAGAAGAATATTGATACATGATTGAGGTACCTTGTAAATCAAATGTACAGTGCACCAAAAAAAAATTTAAAAAAAATAGAAAAATAAATAGAAAAATAAATAAGAAAATAAAAAAATAACGGACCACTCTGAATAACTTTTGATTTAATGATTGGATCTTCACGCTTTAGGACTCAATCTTAATGGTTCGAGGGGGGCGGGACTTCAAATATGCTAACTTTTAAGTGCAGACGATATTTTAGATATTTAGAAGACATTTTAACTTGCGAAATCAGACACAAAAACGTACTTTCTTTGAATAAATATTCCTTTTTTTAATGAATTCGGAATTCTGAACCCCAAAATATAGTTTATAGCCGCTATCAGAGAAATATGGCCCCAATAGTTTGGTCAGGAGAGTTCTCCAAAGTTCGTACTCCTTAATATTAATTTTTCTTTTTGCGTATTTCGTTATATTTCGAAAAAATTTTAAGCAAATCCAAAAATTTTTGCCCGCAATTATAACATTCATTTATTCAAAGACAATTCCATGCAAAAAATGACTTTTATTAGATATTTATTATTTTGTTATTTTATTCGATAATGGTCAAAAAAAATTTTAATTGAAATGTACAATTTTTTTCATAATTTGAAAAAATATAATTTTACATGGCAAAATACAAAATTCGGGCAAATTTTTATTTGAATAGTTCCTGAGAAATTGAATTTAAAAAAAGTCAGATATTTCAAATCCGATTTCTCAGTAACTATTAGACCGAATTTTCTCAAATTTTGTATTTTGCCTTGTAAAATTATATTCTTTAAAATGACACAAAAATTTTTGAACCCTACTATTCAAGATTTTTTCGACCATTATTAAATAAAATAATAAAAAATAATAAATATTTACTAAAAGTTACTAATTCATCATACTTATAAAGATCAAAACTAATTCAGAGTGGTCCCGTTTTTTTTGCGCACTGTACATTTTATAAATACTGTATATATATANCAATATATATATATATATATATATATATTCGCCACCTCGCCAAATGCGATTGATGAATAAAATTTTAAGATTTGCATTTGGCAAAGACTTATGAAAATTGGCGAACACTTTTGATATTTGGCTAATTTACAGGCTTGTAATTTGAAATCCTTAGCGCGACCCTGTATAGATATATGTATGTTCCCATAAGCATGACAGTCTAGTACAAGCCAGCTGTCCCAACTAGTCGTCTCCATCTGGCTCAACCAGATTCTATGTTTCTTCTTCTATTGATTCCCATGGTTTTCAAATCTTTTTCCACAAAATCATTCCAGCTGGTGTATTTGGTCCTTACCTTTCTCGGTTGTTTGTAAACTTTCCAAAAGTCACCATCATTCCTTCTATCGATGTGCACCAACTATCACATTCTATAAGATTTAATGACTGAAATGATGTTTGGTTGCTTACATTTTCTGTATAATTCATCATTACTTTTCTAAATTCGCCAAGCACTGTCAATGATGGCTCTGAATATTTTTCTTTCAAATATTAAGAGCTTATTTTCTTTTTTCTTAAAGACCAGCTTTTGCTGCTATAGATAAGTACAAGTTTAAGTAGAGTGTTATATAAATTTGAATTAGTTTTGCAGATAAAAGTCAAAAATATTTCAATGTTTTTTTTTATTTTTTATTTACGACAAATTCTTGCCATGTAACTTGTTTGATTAGTAAGAATGTTCTAATGATAATCAGATTATATAAGTCGATATTTATCTTACTTAGGGAAATTAAAAATATATGTATATAGCATTTAATAAAATTTCAATTCATTTCAACACTTTTTTGTTGCTTAAAAATAAAGAATGAAATTTTTTACATGAAATCCTAAAATCAATAAACTTGGTCATAAATCCCCAAAAAGTTTTTCATTTTGAAAAAATATTTTTTGTCCCACATTTGTTTGAAGTTTTACTTAATCGAGTATTAAAATTGTTAATAAATCAATATGTTTTTTTTAAACAAATGTTAAATTTGAATTCACTTTTCAGTACCTAAATTGTTTAATAGTTTTAATTTCTTCGCATCCTTCGCGTATTTTTTTAATAACAATAAAAATAAAACAATCTATAGAAATCACTTCTATCGAATATAATATAAAACAATTATTTTATTTTATCAAGAATCTGTAATTAAACCGAAAACCGACAACATAATTAAACCTAAGTCTTTAGTTTAATATGTAGCAAATCTATTTCATTTTCAGATTTTAAATTTTGTTTCAATTTATTGATAAAAAATACTTTACTGCTTAATGTTACTCTATAATTACTCTAGCAATAAATTTTAATCACACTGAAAATAATGAAAGGAGAAAAAAAAAAGAAAGAACTCACCAAACAGGACTAATGTTACATATTTACACTTCTTTAAAACATTAAGTTTTAGAAGAGGGGATCTTGCTGTTTGATAAAATGAAATATAATCACCACAATTCAGCACTGTATTGCCATTGTATACTACCTATGAAGAATAAAATATTGTTTGTACACTTTGCACATTATCAGAAACTTTATAATAATACTTAAACTAATTGTAAATTAGTTCAGAATGAAAATTCTTGTTTAATTAATATTGGCAATTGAAATGGGGTACAGGTGGCGCAGAGTAGAACTTTCTATCTACGGCAACACTTCAGATAATTTCTACATTAGCGTGTGGACAATCATAGAAGAAGAAAGTACGTTAGTTTCCGTCTTGATTTTCAAATAGATTAAAAGCTACGAAACTATATCCAATTCAAAAATGTTCAAACTATGTGCAAAAAATTGTATTAAACATAGTTTTTAAAAAAACTGTAGAAATTTTAGAAAATATTTTTAACAATTAAATACGAAAGTGGTTCCATAGTTTGCGTTCGAATACCCAAAATGGTGTATTTGTTAAACGCTGCGAATATATATATATANATCTCACCCATTGTGGTGGTCCTGAAAGAGTGGATACCACTTCTGGAGAACGCACTAGGTCTGAACATCGGGAAGACTGATTGTGCAGCTCATTGGAAATAAATTTAATTTAAGAAAAAAAAGTTTTTGAAATGCCAATTAACATTCACTATTTTTTTTAATTATAGAAAAATAGAATAATAATTATAATCTCTTCCAGAATGTAGAATAATTATAATCTCTTCCAGAATTTCTACAGTTTTTCCGGAACCTACTTTTTCGAAACCTTTCTGCCTAGAAGACTCGATCAAAGATGTGAAGATGATTTGCCTGCAATTCTTTATATAATTAAAAGAATCAAAACGAATTTTGGAAATTTGGTTTTAATTTAAAATCTTCGTACTTAAAAAAGTTAAAAGCAATGTAAAAACACTAATAATGTCATATAAAAGTTTTTGTGCTCAAATTCTAAAATCAAGAAGAATTCAAAATAATTTACCAATCCAAGCAAATTCTGTTTTCAAATGAGACAAAAAAAAGAAAATAATCTTAGCGTTTTGGTCAGAAATCAACCCAAAAAGTGTCTGTTGCCTAGATTCTGCGAGATATTTTTCTACTAATAAATAAGCTTTCTTAAGTTAAAGAAGTGAGGAATGAAAAAGTTTTAATTTCTATTCCATTATTTTCGATAGTGTCAGCTTGGCTGTTAAGCAACGGAAAAACACTGAGTATTTCTCTTATGTCCATCATATAGTTTGTTTAATTTTCTCCTACTGATACGGCGATATTATATGGCTTTTTAAGGGGGGGGGACAACACCAAATATATATAGCTTCCTAGCACTCAAATTTATGACCCTATTTTTTCGAAATTTGGACTACCTCCTATATTTTGAGGGTCAGGAATCTAAATATGTAAAAAAATATCTATGTTTATTCAGAGAAAGAACGTTTTGCGTCTAATTTCGTAACTTACTTAATAGTTAGTGCTAATTAATTAGCATATTTGAGGTCACTCTCTTGAACCATTATGATTGACACTCTTCAAATAGCATGATTGGAACAAAAGTTATCCCGGGTGATATCCTTTTTAGTTTGCGTACTGTTCAGTGCGATGCACAGATGCATAGGGCGGAAAAAAACAAATTGCCTTAAGTAACTTTTGATCTAATGGTCGGATCTTCACGTTTTGGGACTCAATCTTTATGGTTCAAGAAGGTAACTTCAAATATTTTTACTATTATTTAGTACAGACTATACTTTGAATTACGAAATCAGACACAAAAACGTCTTTTATCTGAATTAACTCCCCCTTTTTTGACGGATTTGAATTTCTGACCCTCAAAGTATAGGGGGTGGCCGCAATATGGAAAATAGGTTACTAATAGTTTTACCAAAAGGGTTGTTTAAAGTTAAAGTTGATCCTACTTTTATCATAGTCGCAATTCATTACATCTCGGGAATTTTTTAAGTGAATTGAAAACTTTTGCGCACTTTTTTGTTTATTAAAAGAGAATTCAATGCATAGAAATATTTTGTTTTTATAATTATTTACTTTAATCTATTATTTCATTTAATTATAGTCAAAAAAATTTGAATTTTAGGATATAAACATTTTGAATTATTTAAGGAAAATATAAATTTATGCGACAAAATTTAAAATTTGAATGAAATAAATCGAATAGTTCTTGAGAAATTGAATTTTAAATACATGAATTTTTTTTAAATTTGATTTCTCAGGGACTATTCGACCGAATTCGTTACAATTTTGCACTTTGCATTATACATTTACATTCTTTAAAAGGATATGTAATTTTGAATACGTTGCGATTCAAAAATTTTTCGACTATCATTAAATAAAACGATTACAAATTAAATAATAAAAAGTATAAATAACACTTAAAAACTATTTTTTTTCGCACTATTTTTCTCGCATAATCGAAAATAAAAAGAATTTTACATAGATTTTATTAATAAAGGAAATAAATCCTTATTGATTTTTATTATGATTATTAACTCTATTTATTATTTTAATTAAATTGTAATAAATTTATTTTCATCGTTTATTCTTATGATTGTTCTTATTTTTGTTTATTATTCCTACATTACTTGTACATACATTATAACTGGCAGTACTCTGAAATAAACAGCGCACAGGTATAAACAACGCATTAAAATTTAATAATATGAAAATAATTTTTTTTCTCATCATTTAACGCGAATTTAAATATCAACTCTAAATTCTAAATTAAATTTAAGCAATTTAATGTATTAGTAAAAGACAATTATAAATAAATTCGAAAACAAAATTATTAAATTTCGTTTTTCTAATTTATTAAATATCGAATTTATTTTTATCATTATTATTATAAGTGATTAAATTATTACTAAAGTATTAATAATTATCATTACCTCTAAATCATAATCACATGATTTAATAACATCAGGAATTAAGTACTGTTTTTTAAGTTCTTGTTCACAAAGTTGAGCACTTCCTAAGCGGATAATACCAATCAGAACAAAATTAATTAATATTATCATTTTGTAAGAAAATCGCTCGAAGCAGAATTATTTCAAATTTTTCATTTGACAGTATGTGTAAGAGCAACGAATTGGGATTTTTTCTTAATATTTCTTATCAGAAATAGGCTATTTCAGCTGTTACAAAAAGACTATATTATGATTATAAATGAAGCGATTTGTTAAGCCGATTACTGGAAAGGCGGCAAGCTGTATTTATTCATCATTTCAATTTCGTTTTGTACGTTAGGGCTTTGAATAGTGTTAGTCTTATATATTTATATAAGGCTGAGGAATGTGAAAGATTAAAAGAATTTAAATCTCGAAATATTCAAGATTTAAATATATAAATATATGACCAAGTAATGCTAAATATTTAAACTACACTGAAAAGCAATTTATGAGCCGGGATAGTCTGGTTGGCAGGGTTCTGGACTCACGCTCGCGGAATCTCGAATCCAGATGGCTGAAGACTTTTGACTGGTTTGTGTTGTAACTTTAGACTGGTGCTTGTTAAATCCATCGGGTCACAAAGTCCTTCATGTTCCCATAACAAATTATACCTCTGGGGGGGTACAAAATCGAAAATTGATCGCTCTCTGGTTCAGGTCAAAATTACGATCTGTGGATTGAGTGGATGTATGGATGAGTCCGCATTTTAAACAGGTATTGCGTTTAGGCGTGGCAGAAGTCGACATCTTGGCCATATATGGTGCCACTGGAAAACAAGAACAATCGTACTCCTTGCCTGAATGGCCCACGACAACAACGAGCAATTTATTTTCTGTAAGCACGCGTTTCTTTAAAAAACCTTAGATACTTCCATATAGCAGATTTCCAATTTCCAATGGGTTTCTCGAACCAAGTTACAGTTTTTTAAAATGACATCTTCAGTCTTTTTTATGTCCGAACTTGCAAGTTTTAAAAAGTTTTACATAACAGCTGCTATAAACTACATGGAAGTTACGGCACATGTTCAGTATTAAAATTTCATAGGATCCCATGCCTGGAAATGTCACCATATGACGCAAGGATAAATATTATGAACTGTTTCTTCATCTGCTTTTGACTAGGTGATGATAGGAGAAGTGCTCCTAGCCGCGTACGATGACAATTAAGGGCATAGATTCCTATTCAATTTTAATCTTGATGATGCATCCGAACTCCCAAGGAAGTGTATCGCAACATTTACACTACCCAATGCTATGTATAGCGGTTTTAAGCTTGTACATTTAGACAAAGAAAATAGACTAAAAACTTTAAATAAATCTACAGTTTTAGGAGCAAAAATAGTTTTTGATTTGAAATCCCCATGTCCGAATCAGGTAAGATTAAGTTTTTACTCTGAAATTTTTGAAATTCTTAAAGAGCCCGGCATTATCATAAGTATTAAAATTAATAGAATGATCTGGGCTACCTATGCTTCCAGAATAAATAAAAAATTCGAAAAAAGTGTTTTTTTTTTCAATTTATTTATTTATTTACTTTTGTGAGGCCCTTTTCTATTCGGAAAAGAAGAATGTCAGAAAGGGACTCTCAAAATTGAGCAAAAATGTGTCAAAAAAGCTCAGAATTAAATAATTATTAAATCTGAAAAACATTATGCACTGAAACGGCATAGTCACATTTTTTAGCAAAAGTGCATTTTCTCAAACGTGATGTGGAGGAAGAATTGCGGGAGGGAGATGTTCGTCGATTTCGTTTCCCTTTGGCGCCGTAGGTTGAAGCCTCGCTCGCACTTCTGATACAAGAGTTCGAGGCAGTGGGGCCGATACTAGCTACTGGCATTTGGGTACACGCAACAAGGTCATACGCACTTTTGAGACAATTAATATTGACATTTTGCTTAAAAATGAGTACATGCTGATTCAATTTTGAATACATAGGGTTTTCAAATTCGACTTTTATTTGTTTCGCAGTTATTTTGACATATTTATGCTCGATTTTTAGAAACCTTTCTTTACAGGGGGATAGCTAAGGCCTTATTCCATCTTGGGCTGTCACAACAAATATGATGGGGGCTGATCATTTTCGGTGGTTTTGTTTGAATTATACAGGTTTTCGTATTCATATATGTTAAATTAAAAAAATTTTAAAACAGTATTTAGTCAAGAAAAAGATTCAGTTATGACTTACCTTTCTTAATTTGAATTCAATTTTATTTCAATTTGAATGTTCATGACTTTTCTTTTTTCTTTTCTTTTCTTCCAGACGTGGACACGTACCTAGGTTTGCAAAACCCTTAACCGTATAGTCCACGGCTGGACGACAGTCTAGCTCGCGCAAAACTCGGCACATAAGTAAACCATTACAAAATTCATAACTGCACAATACAGATGATACAGATGACAATAAAGATGACAATAATGCGTATCACATTAGTTAAATTTATAAAAAATAAAAAAAAGGAAGAAAAAAAAATTTTTTTGAAGCAAAGAGAACAATAAATGAAGCGAATTTTGTTATATACATAATAATTGGAAAAAAAAGAAGCAAAAAGAAAACAAATAAAGAAAATGTAAACGAGGACGAAATGTATAATGAAGGACAAAATCAAAAACTGTTAAACACTATCAAGATTACATAAAAAGTCAGGTTTAATTAAAATTTAAATAAGGAGTCGTTTTCTGCTAGAAAATTCATTACGCTAATTAATTTAGAGTTTAATGTTTAATTTGTAAGAAAGTTTTTTTGCCAAATATCTAAATTATTAATGTTTGAAAGTCGTGTATGCCATGATATTGTGTAAAGACAAGTTGATAAGTAATGCAATGTTCATGACTTACTCATGCCTTCCAATTCAATATTTTTTCGCCTGGTTGGCAGGGAGCTGGACTCACGTTCGTAAGAACGGGAGTTCGAATCCAGCCAGCCGAAGACTCCCCGTGTAAAAACAAAAAGGTGACTGGTAAGCGGTAATATGTCGGGTCACAATGTCCTCCATGTTTCCATAACAAATTATACATCTGGGGGTACTGAATTGGAGATTGATTGTTCTCTGATCCAGGTTAAAATTACGATCTGTGGATGAATGAATGGATATTTGAATGGGTCCGCCCTTTAAATGGCTGCGACGTATGGGTGTGGCAGAAGTCGAATTATTTGCCATGGATAGCATCACTGGAAAAATCGAACAATTGCCTCCATTGCCTTAATGGTCTACGACAACAATTCAATATTCAAACTTATGGAATCAACACAACAATAATTTATGTAAGAAATGAATGTAAGGGACATTTTTAAGTGATGGTACCAAACTGCATTTACATTGTACCAAACTCATCATAAAATGATTTACGATGCTACGTATTCAAAGCAACAAAATTAGACGGTGCTGCAAACTATGCTTCATTTAAAAAAAATTTTAAAAAAAAAAAATAATAATAATTTTTTTACGAGAGTTAAATGAGGTACTAAACGCATAGCATAAAAGCAACTATAAAAGATGAAAAGGTCCCTAGGATACCTCGCCGCGAAGAAAAATGCAAAATGGTTAAATAAAAAGGGGACGAAGCACTGCTGTGAAAATAAATTTCCTTCAGAGAATTATATTTTATTTCTGAATTAGGAAATTTAATTTAGTGTGTTAGTATTCAGTATAATTATATCATCCTTCATTGAATTTTGAAAATCTAATTTAACATTCTGGTATTCAGCTAAATTTAATATCCTTACGATGTAGTTAGAAAATGTAAATAGGAGCAATAACAATTAGTGTAATTCGAATGTTCAATACAGTTAAAATATCTATTTTCTTTTAATATCAGTGCAATAAGATTTTATTCTCCATTGCTCACTAGGAAATTAAGACAACGATTTAATTTGTATTCATAGGTTTACTTGTTTGGATAAAAAATTGCCATTGTTCGTCCAATCGAGAGGTTAGAACTTTTACCACACACAATCCAATGTAATTATCATAATTATATATTTTTATATATTTGAGTATTCAATGCATTGTCATGCAAAGCAGCGTAATCACCATAATTATACGACATGACACGATAATTATTTTTTTAAATGATAATATAAATATGGCTTGAAAAAAAAACTAATGTCTCTTAACTTTTAACGCTATTTAATGCAATTTAACCCTCTAAAAGGAATATTAAACTCAGTTTATGCAATGCAAAATGAATTATAATCCGGGCTGGCATGATTTAAATCAATTAATTTAAATCATAAATTTAATCTTGATTTAAATGAGCAAACTTTTTTTTGTTGATAATAATACGAAAGACTCATTGATTTGTATCAATTGTGATTTTTTAAAAGTCATTAAGTTAAACAAGCTTTTTTTTTTTTATTTCCAATGAGCTACACAATCGGTCTTGCTGATGAGCACATCTAGTGTGTTCTCCAGAGGTGGTATCCACTCTTTCAGGACCACCACAATGGGTGAGATACCGTTGGTCATGTTAATTTGGACGTCTAGTTTCTGCCACACTAGATGGCAGCACCGAGACTCTATTTGGATGTTTAAGTCCAAATAACCTGCTAAACCAAATAATAGTCCCATTTAAACAAGCTGCTTTAAAAAAAAAAAAAAATAAGTCTGAGTTTAGTCATATTGAAGTGATATGAAAGGGATATACACATAATTTAAATTTACACGCATTCCTTTCCTTATTTTATTACAAATAAATATACTAATTTTTTTTTCCGAAAAATTAATACTATATTACTTATTAAATAAAAATATTAATTTAAAACAATTAATGTTATTATTCATTTAAATTAATTATACTATTAATTTAAATAATAATATTAACAACTATTATTTAAATAACTGATTTTTTTAAAATATTAGCTTAAGTATAAAATATTTTTTATATAATATAATTAAAAAATACATCATTTAGGATGTGATTTTTTTGTATATCTTAAATCATAATGACGATTTCTTACTAAAAAATAAAGGAATTTGCGTGTAAATTGTATATTTTAACATAGACTAAATATAAAAAGAAAGGAGACTAAACGTGGATAAGAGTGTCATGAAATTTGAAAACTGTAATTTTACATTAAATTTTTGCAAAAAACTTAATTCAGCGCACGCCAAAAGCATTTTTATTACATCAGTCAAGTTTTTATTTAAGTTCAGTGCTTTGAAAACTAATGAAATTTGCAG